GGCAAAAAATGAAAATGGGATAAAGTACTGCTAAGGTTTTTTTTTTGTTTTGTTTTTTTTGTTTTTGTTTTTTTTTCAGAATTGCACTTTCATGAATTGCCTTATTTTTAATTCTTGAAACAACCCTTTGAAGGTAACCTTTGGCCCTGAATTTATAGATGAGAAAAATGAAGCTTTGAAGGGAAGTGATGGTGCCTGGATTCAAACTTTATTCTAATTTCAGTTCTTAACAATACTGTTTTCTGTTATGCCATACTGGTCAGTCAAGTTCCTCACAATAGGTAATATGCCAGTTTAAAAGAGTAGTTCACATGGCTAGTAATTTCAAGCTTTTACTAATTTTTGAATATTTAATTTTTTTACATTAATGATGGAGCTATAAACTGTTGAACTTTAAAGGAAATTAACATTTCAGGTTTGTTTTTTTTTGCATTTTGTAAAAAACAGACAAATGATCCTGACCGGTGTTGCTCAGTGTTTAGGGAGTTGGCCCATGAAGGGGGAGTGAGAGAGAGGGTGTGTGTGTGTGTGTGTGTGTGTGTGTGTGTGTGTGTGTGTGTATCTGTGTCTGTGAGTTTGATTCCTGGTCCAGGGCGTGTATCTGGTTGGAAGTTTGATCCACACCTCTGATTCAGGTTAGTGGAAGAGGCAACCAATCGATGTGTATCTCTCACATCAATGTTTCTCTCTCTTTCTCTCTCTCTCTCTCTCTCTCTCTCTCTCTCTCTCTCTGTATCTTTCTTCCTTTCTTCCACCCTCCTCTTTTCCACTATCTCTAGAAATCAGTGGGAAAAAATATCCTCACTCCTTGAGTGAAGATTGAAAAAAAAAAAATACACCAAAAACCAGGCAAATGTATACAGGAGAAACCACCTTTTTAGTTAAAGTTATTGTTTCTGGACTGAGTGTGTCGAGCAAATATGTTAAATATTCTTTTTTAAAAAGAGGAGAGGAAGATTATTAATTTTATTGAATGTAACTTCTGCCATATGCAGCTTTGTGGTAAGATAACTGCAGTAAGAGAAGAAATTCAATTCTCATTTCTTTGACTTCACTCAGAATTAATAGATATTCTCTGAAATATTCCTCCTGTTATATGAGGCTTTTGAGGAAGCTGAGCCAAAAGTGGATGTACTATGATTTCTACAATATATAGTTCTTTTCTCAGTCTGTTCTTATCTCAGTTTTTTAATATCTTGCAATGGAACATATTCCTCCCCATGCCTTTTGAGATCTGGGTCTCACAGACCCCTTCTTGGCCCCACTCTTGAGATTTTGATTGGGTTTGGCCACTTGCATTTTGAACACTCACTGAAGCCTGTATCTGAATACTACAGGTTTGGATTAACATTGAAACCCACAATAAAAAGATGCTATTAATCCTTTTTGTTTTTTCTTTCATTTACTGAATAGACTTTCCAGTACTGTTACGTACTAGGTAATATGTGACAAAAAAGCAAAGCATAAACTCTGTATGTATGATATTTATGTTGGACTTAATTATAGTGATTCTTAATTGTGACTGCTTATTGGAGTTATTGGAAAGCTGTTTATAACATTTGTGGGAGCCGGTGCAGACCAATTAAGCCAGAAACTCTGGGAGCGAGCCCAGACACTTGTAAATTTTAAAAAGAATGTGATACCCAACACTAATCATAGAGCCATTGTATTGTGGAAAATGACAGTGCCCTGGTAGGGTCAGATTGACTGTATACTTATTTAAACCACTTAATTGGGGCATTTAAGATTTTAATCTTAGTATCATAGATAATGGTACATAAATACATCCTAGTGCATAGCTTTTACTAATATATATATTACCTTTGTATAACATGATTATACTTTATAAAACTTTTATACTTGTATTATTTCACTGATGTTTGTAACTACTCTGTTTTAAACAAAATTATCCCTGTTTTAAGGTTCAAGTTTAATAACCAGTCCAAAGCCTTGTGACCAATAAGTGTTAGCAGTTGAGGTAGAATGTAGATTCTGTGCTATCTGGTTTAATACTTTCTTAAATACCATGTAGTTACAGGCACCTTAAATATTAAAATAAAAAATTTAAATCCCATAAAATGTACCAGCCCATTTATACTCTTTTACTCTTTTTACAGCCATCACATTTCTGAGACCATTTTTATGATCCTGAACCCTGTATTCTCTTATTTAGAAATCAGACTTCATGTCAACTATTTTTATTTAAAGTTGTTGATTTGCTGAACTTCTTTCTCCTATGAAAACTTAAAATTGAAATATGACCTATGGCCCTAGCTGGTTTGGCTCAGTGGATAGAGCGCTGGCCTATGGACTGAATGGTCCTGGGTTTGATTCTGGTCAAGGGCACATGCCTGAGTTGCAGGCTCTATCCCTAGTAGGGGGCGTGCAGAGGGCAGCCAATCAATGATTCTCTCCCCTCATTGATGTTTCTATCTCTCTCTCCCTCTCCCTTCCTCTCTGAAATCAATAAGAATATATTTTAAAAGAGAAATATGACCTGTGTATCGAAAAGTGTATGTCATAAATGTTTATCGTTATGAATTTCCACAAAATGAATATACACCCTTGCATCCACATCAAGAAATGGAAGACTTCCTTGGAGCCCCCACCTTCAAATAGAAGGAACCTACTATTCTTCCGAGGCATTTCTACTCTGAGTAGAAAATCAGACAACTATACTTTAGTTGAATGGACTGTATAATATTGGTGAAAAACAGCCTACCCCAGCGCTATGTTTGAAAAATCTAACCTTTGGCAGTAATTTGGAATGTAAGTTATCAGAGGCCACATTTTCAGGCCAGAGCAGCTGGCTTCCAGATCGGCGGAGCAGCTTCTCAGCAAGCCCTTGTAGAGGGTCACTGAGGGAAGTTAACACACAGCATTCATTGATTGGGTGAGTGTCGCTTTCACCGGATTTCTTCCTTGTTAGCGAAACTTCCAACTACTTCTTTATCCCATTATCTTCCCATTTTCACACACAGACCTTTTGAATTTATGAGGAATTGGAGCTGAACTGCTCCTTCCAAGCCAGTGACTTGGAGATTTGTGGAAGATGACTTAGGTGTGTGAGTTGGGTAATCCTTCTAACACTCTTTTATTATTGACATCAGTGATGTCTAATTTATGTAGAGCTGTTTGTTATCTAAACCATATCTCCACCTATGGGATTCTTACCTGACAGTGGAAGGATCCTTCTTTTAGCAGTTCAGTTTTGTAGAATTGTTGTGGTCATTCAGTTTTCTTTGTCATAGTTTCTAAACTTCGGCCAGGCACTGTATTTAGTATTGGGGATATGCAAATGAATACATGGCTTCTGTCAGTTTTACCTTTGTAGTAGGGGGGAGCTGTTGTCTCTGGACATATTGAAATATCTTTCTGTCTCTAGAATCCTGTCATATTTTCATCTCTGCTTAGGGATCTCATTATGGTGCTTAACTGGCTGTCACTCCTTTTGAACCGCTGACAGTCTTATACTTTGAAGATTTTGCTGTGAAAGTTACATCTCAGTGGTTGCTAAAACTGCAGTTTATCATCTTGATGCCACATGAAACAAGTGGCATATCCTTCTTGTATATGTTCCTTTGTTCATATTAGCCATGCCATCTTTCTTTTTCTGTGTTGCATTTGAACAGAGCATGATTTTGAAAGCACAGTGGGCTCTGAACTGGCCGTTGAAAGGTCTAAGCATGTCAATCTATGTGCCCCCCTTTCTGGGCTAGAGATCTTTCAGAACTACTCTGAGAGCATTTGTTTATTTTGCATTTGTAGGCCTACTCATTCACAACTTTGTACCTGCTGTACCAGCCCCCATTATTGAGTTCTCCCCAGTGAAATTTGGTTGTGGTGACTGTTAATGCTGTGCAGCAGCTCTCATCTTTTTCTGATTGGATTTTGCCTTTTACCAGGAGCTTTAATTGGTCTAGGTGTGTGTGTTCTTCCTTAAACCAGAAGTCAGTGGTGGGGACAAGTGAGATTGCTTCTCTCTATTTTTACCAAAACAGTAGTTACTTATTATTACTCTTTGGTAAGATTGTGCCAGGCTGCCTGAACCACAACAAGTCACTATACCAAATCTTCTTTTCCTTTCGGAAATCAAGGCACTTTGCTTTATATGTCCAGGTCTTAAGTTAGGGTGTTGGTAAGAGGAGACAGATTTAATTTCCTGAGGACACAGGATGGACATCAGTGTACTTGGCATCACAGTTCTCTTGGGTCCAGTCTTTCATTAGTCACAGTTTGAAACACTTTAAAGATAACTTATTTTGCGTCAGTGATTCCACATAAACAAGGTAGTCTCAAAATAATCTGGTATGGGGCAGGTCGATAGAAGAAGACAACACTTATTGGTGAAAGAATTTCACAGCTGGATTTAATATGTGTTGAAGGATTAAAAATGTTATACTTAAGGTGATTGTTGAATTATTGATGCAGTGAACTGTGAGACATAGGGTGGAACTGGGGTGGTGGTGATAGTGCAAATTCGAAGGGCTTATATCCCAAGATAAGAGTAATTGAATCGGAATGATGTCAGACCACACTTAGCTCAATATTCGGAAGTAAGGGGGGAATTTACATAGGCAATGGGGGATAGATTTTTTTTTATAGACTTAACTAACACTTTTTCAACTATACTATTAGCTGCCATACTGGATCTTCTTAGTCATGCTGTTACATAGAGTTAGATTTGAGAGTAGAAAAGTGGGACCAAGAGATACACAGTTTTGGCTGGGCTTTGGGTAGAAAAAAAAATGGGATGGTGGGGCACTGGGCATGGTAAGACTGTCCTAAACTATAACATAAATGTATGTCTGTCTCCCCCATTTGGCAAGACTTTCTGCAGTGTTCCTGCCTCTGTGTTGTCTGTTAATTAGGTTGTAATGTCTTAAAAGGACATAGACACTATCCTGTTCTAATTAGCATCTAGTGTAGTCTGGTGTCCGTAGTGGTTGCCCACTATCATTAGTTGATGATTAGTGAAGCTGAAGCTATTTTTTAAACAGGGCCCAAGGGATGCAGACAGTGATGAAAACGACAAAAATGAAAAGAAGAACAAGGGTACGTTTGATGGAGATAAGCTAGGAGATTTGAAGGAGGAGGGTGATGTGATGGACAAGACCAATGGTTTACCAGTGCAGAATGGGATTGATGCAGACGTCAAAGATTTTAGGTTTGTATGTTTTACACTTCTGATTTTTGAATGGGGGCTATGGGTTTTTGTTTTAAGTTTTGTTTTTTTGTTTTTTTACTTTAGTTTTCTTTTTTCTTCTTTATGTGTCCTTTTTAAGAATTGGGTCTAGTGTAGGCCATACTACAAAGATTATAAAATTTTCTAAGAGTTGTCAATGCCTGGTGCTTTGCCAAAACAACAGATTTTGCATTTGTATAGGACTATAATTTGCAGATTAATTTCCATGAAGAACATTTCATGATTCTCAAATATCAAAATCACCTGCAATGGGTGCCTTGGGACTTTCCCCAAGTTTCTCCCAAATTACTATCTTGGGAGAAACCGTGGTTACTAATGGGAGTTTGACATTATCTCCCTGGCATGCTAGAGTAGATGGCAAAACATTTGAGAACTTATTTGAAAGTGATAAGCTCCCTTTGAGGTAGTTGCATTAAGTATCATTTTCCTCATTTTGAAGAACCAGAGATGCAATTAAATGGCTTTTCTTAGACATACCCCTTCCACAGATGGCCTCTCATTCCATCTCTGGTCACGATTGACTTGCAGGTTTTAACCTATAATTCAATTTATGCAGTATTAAAATGATATTGTATATTTGTGTTCCACATTTGGCAAGTTCTTCTTTTCTTCATTTATGTAGATAACCTTTAGTGATGGTATATAATTTTAAAAATCTAAAACTCCTCGCTCAGTAATGTACAGATAGAGAATTAAATTTTGACTAGTTTTAAGTTAATCTAAAGTTAATATGTATATGTTTGGCCACACTTCTATATCTTACCCTAATATCTATCAAAGTCAAAATTAAAATATATTTTGGGTCATTGTTTGTAGAAAAATGTTCAATTGTTAAATATTTCTAATCTAGCTTTTGTGTCTTGTTAATGTAAAGAATTAACAGTCTTTTGAAGAAATTTGAGGCACAGAGTTATAGAGTTACCTAAGGTCTTTCAAATGAGTTTGGGTAGCCTCTCCATCTTGAATCTCAGGCAGCCTGCCGCAGTGTTTTCTGGTATTTGACTTCGGGGAAGGTGGTGGTTGCAAGGCTTGAGTGTGTCAAGGAACACAACAATAGCTTTAATTTGTATCAGCTTTAGGATTTCTTTTAGACATGAAAGGTATAGAATATAGTCACAGGTTATACTCCTTTAGATTATAATATTATTCTATACTAGAGGCCCGGTGCACAAAAATCGTGCACTGCAGGCGTCCCTCAGCCTGGCCTGCGCCCTCTCGCAGTCCAGGGCTCTTGCAGTCTGGGACCCCTCGCCCCTTACCACCCGCCTGCCGGGATCCTTAGCACTGCTGTGAGCCTGGCTTCTGGCTGAGCGGCGCTCCCCCCTTTGGGAGCACACTGACCACCAGGGGGCAGCTCCTGCATTGAGCGTCTGCCCCCTGGTGGTCAGTGCGCATCAGAGTGACCAGTTGTTCTGCCGTTTGGTCGATTTGCATATTAGGGTTTTATTATTAGGATTAGTCTGATTTGGAATCATATTGTCCTACAATCCTTTTGGATAGGGTGATCATGTGCCCTGGGTTTCCCAGGACAGTACTTTATACCTGTTTTCCAGGATATTTATTAATAGTGCACTTTTTTTTTTTTTTTTTTTTTTTTGCTTTTAGGAGTGTCCTGGTTTGGATGATAAATTATATCTTCATATTATTTTTAATTCTTAGACTTATCTCCTTAGCAGGTGCATATCCTAAATAAATAATTTATTTTGTAATGGTCTGATTCTTCTGGTTTCTTAGAAGGGGAGGAGACAGTTTTAGCATTGGCCAGTATATTCACATAATACAGAAAAAGAATTTCCACTTATATCAAAGTTATTTTTTTAAGTAGAATCATTCTCACATGTGGAACTTCCCCCTTAGAAACTACTCTTCCATTATTTCTATGTTTAAGATGTTAATTTTGGGGGGCATATTTTACTATTTGCATTTTGGGATCTCTGTTTTCATGGATGCCACAGTTAGTGATTTTTCCAGTTTATCCAGTGTTCTCAAATCTGAGTCTCTTGGTTGAAGGGATTGTAAATCAATAGCAGTAAATGCAAATTTAAGGGGTGGGCTGTGGTGGGAAGGCAAGCAATAAAAAAGTCATTTTATGGTATAACATGGAAACACCATAAATGGTCTTGGTTGTTTTGTAGGAATAGCTTTAAGTACTATTGATAATAAGTTATAGCATGGACGTTGTCCTTAAACTTGGGTTGCTGTAGTGTCCCTCCCTGCTCAAAATAAGGTTTAATGCCCTTTACTTTCTCTGTTTAGCCGTACCCCTGGTAATTGCCAGAACTCTGCTAATGAAGTGGATCTTCTGGGTCCAAACCAGAATGGTTCTGAGGGCTTAGCCCAGCTGACCAGCACCAATGGTGCCAAGCCTGTGGAGGATTTCTCCAACATGGAGTCCCAGAGTGTCCCCTTGGACCCCATGGAACATGTGGGCATGGAGCCTCTTCAGTTTGATTATTCAGGCACGCAGGTACCAGTGGATTCAGCAGCAGCAACTGTGGGACTTTTTGACTACAATTCTCAACAACAGGTATTGTGTGTGTCTCTGTCACTCTCTTTACTCTCCCTCTAGCCAGCACATTAACAAGGAATAAGAATGGGGGGATGGGAGGAGGGTGGCTTTATTTTAGGCTATTGATAGCCAGACTTTATTAGCCTGACGGTGATGTGGGTTTACAAAGCCTCTGTATCTTCCCCTCAAGAAGCTGATTCCCATGCTGAGGTTATTGGCAAGAAACCACTTTCTTCTACAAGTACTTAGGCTCCTCTCTTGCCCCAGGGCTTGGAGAGTGGGTGAGGTGGTGTTATCTTTTATAACAGTCCTCTTGGATGCTATGTTAACCTCTCTGAAGAGAAATGTGATTGTAATGCTGTGTATTTGAAATAGTCCAAACTCTGTTATTAGTTATGTCTTTTAATTGAGTCACTGCACTTTGAAAGTTAGTACCTTACAGTGAAATTACTTGGCTCTTTTATTGATAAACCCCTGGAAAATATTGCATGTGTGCCTTCTGATTTTGAAGGCATAATATGACTAACCTCTAGGGTTTTTTGACCCTTCCCTTAACAATTTTTTAAAGTAAAATTAGTTGACTGAATTATTAAAAGGGGGCCTGCTAGCTTTCCTATCCTGTTAAGTACCATAAGTTCTCTCTTATGGCTGGAAGCCATTTGATGGGCCATGAATTTCTGATACGTCTTAATTTTGGACTGGAACATAAATATAAATTTCTAGGTGTGAAAGGTTAACATCTCATTTTGACGTTTAGAAATTCTTGGGAGACCATACTGTTACCTTAGTTGTTATAAATAGCTGATTTTAAGTGAGTTTTGAATGATAGACAACTGGATAATAAGGTTAATAACCATATGAAGTTTACAAAATGAAATCCCTTTAAGGGATTTTCTTTTTTTTGTTAATCCTCGCCCAAGGATACATTTTTTCCATTGTTTTTCAGAGATAGTGGAAAGAAGGGGGAGTGGGGAGTGGGGACAGAGCAGAGAGAGGGAGAGGGAGAGAGGAGAGAGAGAGCAACATTGATGTGAGAGAGACACATAGATTGGTTGCCTCTGGGCTCCTGAAGCCACCCGACTAACCGACCTGGGCTGAGGATTGGGGCTCAGGATCAAACCTGCAAACCTGTGGCCCTTTGGTGCATGGACCAATGCTCTGTCCACTGACCTACGTCAGCCAGGGCAAGGGATTTTCTTTTTTAAAAGATTTTTTTATTGATTTTAAAGAGGAAGGAAGAGGAAGAGAGAGATAGAAACATCAATGATGAGAGAGAGTCATTGATCAGCTGTCTCCTGCATGCCCCGTACTGGGGATCAAACCCGCAACATGGGCATGTGCCCTTGCCCGGAATTGAACTCAGGACCTTTCAGTCCGCAGGCTGATGCTCTATCCATTGAGCCAAACCGGCTGGGGCACAAGGGATTTTCTGATGTACATATGCTCTGTGCGCCTATCAGATGGCTGTTAGTAATAATTCCAAACGTTTTTTTAGAGAGAATAAGCTGAATGTGTACATTATTTTCCCTGTAGTTTCCAATAGATTTGCCCACTTTTCTGTAAGAATTGACTTGTAGTGGTTTTTATCATCTTTATAAGAAATAGTCTTCTTTCATGGTTTTGCCCTTTTTCAAAATAAATCCTCAAGGCCAGCTGGCATGGCTTAGTAGTTGAGCGTTGACCTACAAACCAAGAGGGCACTGTTCGATTCACATGCCCGGGTTGCGGGCTCAGTCCCCAGTGTGGGGGCGTGTTGGAGGCAGCCAATCAATGATTCTCTCTCATCATTGATGTTTCTATCACTCTCCCCTCCCTTCCTCTCTGAAATCAATAAAAAAAGAATAAATCCTCAAAGCAGGAGTTTTGCAAGAAGCCAGAAAGTACTTCCAGTGCTGAAGATATACTAGACTTCAAAATATTTTATGTCACACCAAATATAGGGACATGATATTATATAGACTTCAACTTGTCCAGCTTAGAAAATTAATTGGGCAATTTCTTTATCTAAATTGAGGTTCATGAGTGTAGGCTATTCCTAATCAGATCCTTTAACCTAGTTAATACCAAGAAGTTTTATCTGAATTATTTACTCTTTCTTTTTGGTCTGACATTCCCTAGCCACCCTTAGTGCTGAGGCCATTTTTGGTTCTTAGCTTCCATTCCCAGTTTAATCTTTAGCTTATTATTTAAGAAATATTTGTGCCCACCTCTTATGAATGAAATCTGATTCTCTTTTATTTAGTTGTTCTTTACTTCATAATCAGAGTTGGGATTCTCTTTTAATTTATTGATCTCTGGCTTTAAAATTTTTACCAGTTTTTTGGGAGGCTGGATAATTATTAGAACTTAAGCAACAGAAATGTACTTTTGCACACCCACATGTAGTTTATCATGATTATATCAAACAACACCTATTCAAATTTATAAAACCCAGCATGCCTTCACCATGAATCCCAATTCAGCTTTTGAAAGTGAACATTGTTATTTTGAAAGTTAAACTGTTGTTGGGTTCTGGCTTTTGATATACGTTTTGGTTGCTGCAACATAGGGCATTGTTACATAGAGATTCCACCATCGTATGATGTGATCATTGTTGTTTATCCCATTGCGTTTCTGAGTAGAATACCGTCAGACCAGGGGAGGGCTTGATGAAGACCAAGGTTGCATAGATACAGCTTGAAAGACAGATGGAGTGATACTGCTGCAGTTAAGAGAGCAGAGGTGTGAAGCTGGAAATGACTATGGTGTGGTTATGGGCTGACAACAGTAGAAGGTACATGTGTCAGGGAAAAAGGAGATAAGTACCTGGTTACTCAGTTCGGGTCACAGAAGCCTTGAGAGCCAAGCCTGGGTCCCAGCCAATATTAGTGATTGTGAGCATTGAACTAGATGTCTAGTGTGGCACATATATTTTTGTACATTCTATTCTTTTATCTTCACTTTCTTAAATGGGTATTTAAGGCTAAGGCTATCTATTTTTAGTTTTTAGTTGTTTGCTACAATTGGTAGGGTAACTTTATTTGTGATTTTAGGAGGGGATCTGGCTTGCAGATTGACAAAATAATTTCTTCTTTTGTCTTATTTCCTTCAAATCAGGTTTGATTTGGTATAGTAAGTTGATTTCATATCAGTTTATATTGAGATATGTAATATAGAGCAGCCACAAAATATAGTAAAGGTAACTTTCATTTAGTTCATTGCAAACTTGATACTTGTCTAGTCATTGCTAATCATAAACTTAACCTTTCTAAATTGATTTAGATCAGGGATTCCTTTTTGGGGGCAATGAATCCCTTAGAAAGTTATGTGAGATCTGTGGACTGAATTCTCAGAATAATGTTTTAAATAGAGTGTAAGTAGGATTACAAAGGAATCCAATTATATAAAAATATCTATCATTTGAAGCACGAAAAAGAGTTACGTGTACTAGTTATCTTAATGAGCATAAACAAGATTTTGAGATGTGTAACAGTTGCAAAGTAACCTGAAAATATATGTGATTTCTATTGGTGATTAAGTCACAGATGTTAATGTGGTTGGTTGCTTATAATCATGATTGAAAGACATGCTAAATTTTGTGAAAATAAAGATAATTTTACCTATCCCAAATACAAAGATCTGGGGTTAAAAAGCCCTAATTCAGGGTAGTTTGAAATACTTATTGATATTTCTGGACTGTTCTCCCCAACTTTCCCCTTATTGTCTTCTCCTGAATCCTAGAAAGCACAGTAAACCATTCATATATAGTGTTAGATACCATTTTGTGTTATGATGCTTGAGCAATATTTTTTACTTTAAAGAGCTATACAGCTATCATATTTCCATAAGTATATTTTAGAAAATTAATACAGGTCTCATTAAATTATATTCCTAGATAGCAGAAACAAAGCCAGAGTTATGTCATTATAGATTAATCAGATTAATTGTTGATATTCTTTATTTAGAATTCAGTTAATCTAAAAATAGCCTAATGTAGCATGTTTTACAAAATTGTATTCTGATGTACCAAAACTCTCACCCTGTTAAGCATGAATTTTAACAAAGAGAAAATAACTCTGAAAGTCATAATTGAAATACTGTATTTATTCCTTCACAGCCCTAGTCAGATAGGAGAGGAAATGGCATGCATTGCTTTTTAGCAGTATGGTAGTGATTAAATGTCATTTTTATGAGGACAAGTTTGTGCATTGTTTTAACATAGGAATTTACTATTCTTGACTTGCCTTTCAGTTTACAAATGAGAAGATTATTAGTGTTGTGTATAATCACTGTTAAATACTTTGGCTGATTGAAGCTTATCTTTATTATTATTTGACATTGAAATTTTATGATGTGATTTTCTTAGAAAGATATGAAGTTACTTGGAAGAAGGATATGTTTTATTTATTTTTTTTTGTACCTTATTTAGGAATCATTTATTATGGAATGAGATTCTTCATCTTTTTTTTTTTTAATATTTTATTGGCTTTTTACAGAGAGGAAGTGGAGGGATAGAAAGCTAGAAACATTGACCAGCTGCCTTCTGCACATCTCCTACTGGGGATGTGCCTGCAACCCAGGTACATGCCCTTGATCGGAATCGAACCTGGGGCCCTTCAGTCCGCAGGCCGGTGCTCTATCCACTGAGCCAAATCAGTTAGGGAGAGATTCTTCATCTTTTAAAGAAATGTAAAAAAGTTTCTTTTTTAAAATATTCAGGAGCATGGTTTGTGTGTACCTGTTAAACCAGAAATCATTAGTTGATCTTTTAACCTGGTGAAGTGTTAAGCAGTTGTTCAAATAACCTGGTAAAAAATGGGCTTTGACTTGGAAGCTTTAAACAATACCAAACTTTTACACATGTCATGTACTGAGGACTGGCTCCAAGATAATACTTTTTAATTAAAAATTCATAGTTCCACCATTGATGTAATACTTTAGTGTTTCAGAGGGCTTTTCTCTACGAATCTTGACAACAGCTCCCTCAGGTAGGGCAGCTATTACGTTTTTACAGATAAGAAAATTAAAGCTAAAAGACGTGATTACTGAAAGGTTATATTCTGTAAACTATGCAAACATGTAAGTTTTGGTTTCTCGCTCCAGGCTGTTTCTTTTGGACCTAGTACTAGAACACGAAGCCTTTTGATTATGGGGAGTTGTTTCACCTTCAAATTCAACTGCATTCATAGTTTTGGGTGTTTTTTTTTTTCCTGCATGGAGATATTTTAAAAAGTACCCATCAACAATAACAAAAAAATATCTGGTTCTCCATTGTCTTTGTGAACTGCTGAGAGCAGGTGCTCATGAAACTCTGTGTGGAGTTTTGTTTTAACATTGACTCTGAACAGTCTTACCTTCTGTTTTCCCCCTCCTGGGCTGCCCTGTTGGGAGAGGAGCTATAAAAGGTGACTCACAGAAGCCCCGTGTCTGTGTGGGGGTGCTCTTCCCATTTCGTCAACAAGAATATCACACATAAAAGATTATTCTGAGTGCTATACATGTATTAATTTTATTACAGTAACTTTATGAGTTAGACATATCTTTATTTTCTCTATTAAGAGGGGGAGGAGAGAGAGGCACAGAGAGATTGTCTTGCCCAAAGTCACATAGAAAGTCAGTGGTGGAGCTGAGATATGAATCCAGGCTTTCTGGCCCCAGAGTCTGTTCCTATTTCTTTCTTTTTTTTTTTTAAATATATTTTATTGATTTTTTTACAGAGAGGAAGGGAGAGGGATAGAGAGTTAGAAACATCGATGAGAGAGAAACATCGATCAGCTGCCTCCTGCACACCCCCCACCGGGGATGTGCCCGCAACCAGGGTACATGCCCTTGACCAGAATCGAACCTGGGACCCTTCAGTCCACAGGCTGACGCTCTATCCATTGAGCCAAATCGGTTAGGGCGTGTTCCTATTTCTTATCCACTATGTATATAGCCTTAGACTGGTAAAAAGCCAGGGCTGGCAGTATATTTTATTTTGGGAAGAGGGAGGGATAGTTTTTTACATTTGCTAACTCCATATTTAGATATTACTTCTTCATATTCTGAAAACAACATTTTTATGCCAACAATTATTGATAACAACAGTAATAGTGTAGCTGTATTTTATAAAATGGCACCTGTATGTCAGTCACACAGTTTTTGACTGCCCAGTTCTCTTTTTTTTTTTTTTTCTGGAACAAAAACCCCACAAGGGTCTCTTCTGTAACGCTATATAGTGGTAGAGAAGGGAGTCAAACCAATCTCCTTGCATAGTTTCCAAATCATGAAATAGCTGATATATTTTTCTCTGTATTCTGTCTCTTAAACAATTTATGCATTCTACCCAAGTAAATTTTAATCAGTAGTGGTACATTTATCATTATACCAACCTTAAAATAAGCATTTTCTCCAAATCTCACAGTATTGTGTTTCTCAGTTGTGATTAGCTTGCTTTGTGAAAATCATGAAAATATTTACAGAGCTCAGTGCTTTGCCCAGCAGATGGCATTTGTGTGAGTTTTTCAGGATCATTTGGAATCCATCACTTGCCAATTACCCAATTTTGTTTTCAATACCCTGTATTTCCAGTTAATATTGGAACATTTACATAAAAAGAATTACCAGAATTACTGTAATCTATAATCAAATCTGCCTGTAATTTACTTTTGCTAATTGTTTACTGCAAAATGCACTCAAAAAATAATTCCTTCTCTAGTCACCATAATCATTGAGATATTAATCAACTCTCAAATATAGGATATATTCTCAAAGAGTGATAACATGGTAGTTAGAACCATAAACTCATGTTATGCGGAATTATAACTTTTATGGTATTTACACACTATTTGTGTTTACAAGATACAGTGTACATACATGTAATGAGTTACATGTAATGTTAAAAACATGAAGCAAAGAGAAGTCATGGAATGGCATTGGAGTACTATTTTTGATTAATAAATCAAGAAAACATCAAGATTTATATTTTGAATGGACCTTTATTTACTCTGTCACAGCGTTTAGCTAATAATGTGCTAAAAATGTTTGTTGAATGAAGTGAATTGTTTTGTTTATAGCAGGGTGGAGAGAAGAGGTATGGCATTTCTGAGATGTTAAATAAATCAGAATGTTTTAGGCTAGAAAAATTTCGGAGAGCCATTGAAGAGACAGTAGTGGAACTATGAGGTATTTTTATAATCTTCAAAAAATCAACTTCTCACAATTTAACTTGTTTTTGCCTCCTGGCTGCCCCTCTTAGGTGGACTTTGAAATCTCTACATGGTTATTTTTGACATTGTAAAAGCAAAGACTAAGTTCTATTCTGGTTTTTAGAAAGTTAAATATGTAGAAAAGAGGTAAGAGGTGAAGTTGGTGAGTATGTTCAAAATACTCACTTTTTGTTTTCTTTTAATTTAAAATCAGTCTACTCATATATATTTGAGGCATAGAAGTAGTCAAATCATAGGATTGTCTTTCTATTAAAACTTCAGTGGTGATGAAAATTAAGCTGAGTTGGTGGAATGCCATTATCTTCCAGTCTCTGAAATAATCGGCTCTCTTTATGAGGACATCGTAATTCAAGATCCATGGTGTCTGTTTTATATCATCCAGTGAGGTCAGCAGAGCTGTTGAAATGTGCTTTAGAAAGAGCAGGTAGGTTGAAGGTCCTTTCTATGGAGGTCTCTTCAGTAAGTGCTCTCAGTCTGATTCCAGCAAATACAGAAGTCTTCAGTATGACTGCTATGAAGGAGGTTTGTCAGAGCAATCCAAAATCAGGTTACTGACTTCCCCTTTCTTTGTACCAATACTATTCATACTAAAATCTATGAACATTTTATGTATTGTTATATCCTTAACTCTTTGCACAGTGCCTACTAGGTATTACTTGTTTCTTAAATATTTTTTAGAGTAACTGAGTGAATGACTAACTTTGTATTAAGATTCTTTGAACTCCTTTCCTTTTCTTGGGAACTAAGAAGTGTGCTAGGTCTGAGTTCATAATCCAGGTTTTGTTAGTAGCAGCTGTACTTCCCTGGAAACTCAAGAGCCCCCAAAAGTGAGGCAGTTGTCCAGTTTACTCATGATAAGCCACTAGTTGAGGAAGGTATTCCAATATCATTTCCTCAGGAAGAGGCAGCCAGAGGACAAGATGAATGCTTTTCATTTTCCTTCCCAGAATGTGAGTAGGTAAGGATTAATTCAAAGTTTTTGTGGGGTTCAGTAAAGAATGGTAGGAAGATAACAGCACTAGGGGCAATGTGGTAAGTCATTTTATTGTACCTTTGTTTAATTTTGTGTGTCTTGGATTAGGCAGGTCCCTCAGACCTGTTGACAACCACTGTGGCATTTGTATGCATGTGTGTGGTTCAGGGACATATAATCTGTGCAATAGTCAGCACGTGGGAGCTGGATACACCAAACTGAGGTAAAGAAAGGGAAAGCAGAACTAAGAAGCATTGTGATACTACATGAATGGGTAGAGCATGAGAACATTTTTGTTTAAAGTATCATGCCTCAATGGGGTGTGTAGAAATTTTTATTCAGAGATATTTTAAAATTATTCATGAGACAGGTTCTCTAACCTCACCATGTCTTTTTCTTACCTCAGCTGTTCCAAAGACCTAATGCGCTTGCTGTCCAGCAGTTGACAGCTGCCCAGCAGCAGCAGTATGCACTAGCAGCTGCTCATCAACCTCATATTGGTAAGTCCTTAAGCCTATGCCTCCTTTATTATTATCATCAGTGTGGCCATCATTTTAGGATACTGGCTGCTGTGAAATCCAGAAGACTGATTATAAAAGTCCAGGCAAAAATCCCTCAAAGTAAATCCCTTTTTCCTTTTGTTCAGTTGTCTCTAGCAACATTCTTTATTTTTGACACACCTTCTATACCTCAACTCATTTCTTAGTATCCAGTTACTATTGCTCTACCTCAGCTCTTTCAGGATTTAAAAGTAGTTACTGCAGTGGTGGCTAGCATCAGTTAGTTCTTTTGGTAAGATTGGATGAAATCGATTAAATATAAATAGTTTTGTCCATGTTGGGGCTTTTATAGAATGCGACTATATCAACTTCTCTTATTAAGTAACAAGACGTACCTATAAATCCATTTTCCTAGCAGCATGTATTTTTTTAAAGTCTTCTTATATAATTACTGGTTTTTAAAGTAGCTTTGTCCTTCTGTAGCAATTCATTTGACCTGCATATTTTCGTCTTACTGCCTAGACGACCCCCCACCCCGACTTTTTTAAGGTCTCTGAAGAACTCACAGTGTTATACGTGTAAACAAGTACAAGTAGAAGTATTTTTTAATGTGTTTAAATGACATGATTGAATAGGAAGGAAACTGCCAATCATGGATTGTGGTATGCTGTGGAAGAGAAGACTTGTTTCCACCTAGATATATGAAGGCCAGGCACAGAGGCCTTTGCCTGGGTCTAGTATTTTATACTTGAAGATAGTTGTCTTTATAAATACCCATACAGTTTTCTTTGAGGTAAACTGGAAAATTGTTATAAATGGAAATAAATCCTTCCCTCCATCCCATCCCAACGTCTTTTAAATTGCTCTAATTTTAATAATATTTTAGAAATTGTGCAAATTTAAAGCTGCCTAATATTTTAATTGTAATTTTTAACAAAGGTAGGAGAAAAAAGACAAAAGATAAATGTCACCATAATTTTTAGTATAGGGATTGTTTACTTTAAAATTTTTTTATTTAGTCTCAACGTATCCTATATTGTCTCCCCCTTCTTACCTATAGCCTGGAATGAATACCTAAACATGTAGGTATTTGGTAGGGCTGCAGTTTTAGTCAAGTTTGTTTTTACTGACAGGTATGTTTTCAGCAGGTTTAGCTCCCGCTGCGTTTGTCCCCAATCCATACATCATCAGCGCTGGTCCCCCAGGGACGGACCCCTACACAGCTGGATTGGCTGCAGCAGCAACACTAGGTGAGACATTCTGCTGCATGAGGGATTTTTCTCACCTGCTGAACGTCATTTGAATTGGGCATGTGTCCTTCATACTCTTTCACGAATCCATGTCTCCAGTGAGGATTTCTCTCCTGACTTCCAATGCCATCTACCTGCTAGCTGTGTAGCTCTGCTTAGCTGTAATCTCAGACTTGAACCTGTCCAAAGGCAAACCAGTCAGTCACCTCCTGGATAGGTATTTTTGATCCATGAAGCCGCCAGTTGCTAAATATATTTTGGGAATTTCTTCCTTTACCCAGGTCTTCCTACTACCTCAAGTCTATCACAGCCCAGGTTCTTATTTGCTTTGCCTAAACTTTTGCAGCTGTTCTCTCACGTATTCCTAGTTCCCTTGCTTCTTCCCCCTCTTTTGCCTCCCAGAAATTGCTCAAGAAAACTGTATCAAACACAAATCTTATCCCTTCGTTCTTGTGCTTAAAGTGTTCATTGCTTTCTGTATTATCCACCTTAGTGTAGCAAATGTTGGTTATTATCAAACACAGCTGATCATTATAATCTGCTTGGGTGGTGACAGTGGTGTCTTATTCTTTGGAATCAGTATTTTTAATGAGGTGCCATGGCATTCAGAGGATTAAGGAGGATTGGGACCCATTATGTATAGGTATCTCTCCATGATCTGTACATTGATCTCTTGACATGTGGGCCACTCTCTCCCCTTCAAATTGGCTACCATTGGCTCATGCTGTTCATTCTAGCAATGCTAACCTGATTTTAGCTTGTTGTAAATAACATGGTTGTTTAGGTCTCAGTATCTTTGGACCGTATGGTCTCCTGAGTAAATTCTTTGCCTGAAAAGCTCCTTAACTAGCATTGCCACCTCTAGAACAGTGGTCGCCAACCTTTCGGACCTCACGGACCACCAGTGGTCCACGGACTACTGGTTGACGACTGCTGCTCTAGAAAGCCTTCCTTTGCTAACCCTTCCCTATTACTTATTACTGTTTTGTATTTATTTGCTTGTGGTTTTATGTATACATGAGTGTGTTTTCCCCTTGAGACTGAACTCTTCCAAAAGTAGGCACTTTTGTTATTTGACTCTGGCATAGTTGCTGTCTCCATAGAGATAAATGTGTGGTAAATTGAATTCAATGTTAGGACAAACGAAATCTTTTCCAAAGTAAATATTTGGGGGGACAGAACCCTCCAAGTCATATTAACCCTTTGCGGTCGTTTGTCTACTCGCAGCCACCAAAGCTTTTTTACCGTTCCAGTCGTATGTCTGCTCTCAGCCACCACAGCAAGGAACCGTACGAATCTTAACTCTATTCATTCATGTATCAGTTCATAATTTCTCTGAAAGCTCTTAAGTGTCTAAGCGACCTTGTCACGAACCAAAACATTGCCCCGACAAATCGGAGATATCGAAACTCAATATAAACAAACGCGGTCGTTCCACACTCGCCATGCAAAACACCGTGGTGAGTCAGTCGCCTTTTGAGAGTGAAGAAATCGACAAGCTTCGGAGATACTTCGCAGAATTTCAAATAAAGCTTTACAAATTACGTTTAACTGTAATTAGGCATTCTCGCTTGTTAAGATATTTCAAAATAATACTCCAAGATGGCAAAAAGAAGGTTACCGAAAGAAGTGTACTGCGAATCTGAAAGTAACGAAGAAGAGTTTTATTTTGGCACCTTGAATACTGACTCTGACGTAGAAAGTGATAACGTTTGTAGTGATTCTACTAGTAGTGACGTAGTTCCAAAAAAGAATTAATAAATCTTGTTTATCCTTCATAATCTTGCATGTTATGTATCACTGCTCTTTCAATGGAAATTAATTCCAACCAGTACAACACCCATGTCCAAATTCAATACGACCGCAAAGGGTTAATCATGACTAAATATTATTGTAAAATTTCACTTATATAACATGTAATTTGTAATTATGAACTCAAATGCAGTATAGATGTTCATGTTTTCTTTAGAATTGTTCACATTTTGGCATGGAGGGAACAGGTAGTATAGTTCTGCTCCCCTTTGGCCTTTGGGGGAGAAATAGAAAGCTCTTCCTAGAAGAGTCATCTTTGCTAAATACCATTCATATTTATTGTACCCTTACTAACTATTTGCCAGGCATTATGCTGAATGCTATATGATGATTTTATAGGTTAGGGATTTGGGGCTCAGAAGGCTATCTTGTTTGTGATCACATTTTAAATGTAGATTTGGGGTTTGAACCAGGTCCAACTCAAAACACTTCACAATACTATATAATCTCTATCTTTAAAAACTTTTATTATTTATTGATTGATTTTTGAGAGAGAAATTGTTGTTTCACTTATTGAATCATTCATTGGTTGCTTCTTGTATGTGCCCTGATGGGAGATCAAACCTGCAACCTTGGCATATCGGAATGATGCTCTAGCCAACTGAGCTACCTGGCCAGGGCTCTTTGTTATCTTAAATTGTTTTTTCTGTACTTCTTTCCTCTACTAACTAACTTGGCTCTACTAACTTACTGTATGTTATTTGAAAGAGAGAACTTGTCTAAGTTTTCTCTGACACGCTTGTCCGTACTGTGATCACTGTTTGATGATGAGAATCTTGTTTTTTTGTACTCACCAGCTGAGTCAGGCTGAAAATGACTTAAGTGCTTTCACACAAAACTGGAAATGTTAACTACCCAAACTATGAAACTGCAAATTCTTATGGAGTGTTAATCACCCAGAAATGGAAACAGACACCCAGATGAGTCAATCTCAAGTAATGATGCCCCGTAGGTTATTTTCCTAAACTCAGGCCACAAGACTAGGGAAAGTCGTAGGAATGCCAGTTAAAGAAAATTTAAAAGATAGTGGAAATGTTTATGGTAACAAAACTCTGTGCCCATTAGGAGTTTGCTTTGTTGGCTTTTGGCGGAACCTTAGGAATATCATTGCAGGTTGCAACCTAACCTTTCAAGGTAGATGCGGCAACACCTATTATACCCGTTTTCCATGTGAGAAAACTAAGGCACAGATAGGGTCTTTTGTTGTGTTTTCTCTTTCATTCTTTTCTTTAAATGCCCAAGACAGAGTCCCTCTTAACAAACACTAGCCAGATGAGTTAGGAGACCAACTTTAACTTGGAGGTATGGTTTTTAGATTATTTAGATTCTGATAAAAATTTTTAAACCCATTTGCTTATTATAATAAAGCTCAACTGTAACATAGCTTTTTAAGGCAGTTTCGCAGTGAGCACCCTTATAAACAGTGCTTCTTTTTTAAAAATATATTTTTTGTAGATTTCAGAGAGGAAGGGAGGAGGAGAGAGAGATAGAAACATCAGTGATGAGAGAGAATCATCGATTGGCTGCCTCCCGCAAGCCCAACACTGGGGATTGAGCCCACAACCCGGGCATGTGCCCTGACCGGGAATTGAACCGTGACCTCCTGGTTCATAGGTCCACGGTCGTTGCTCAACCACTGAGCCACACTGGCCGGGCAACAATGCTTCTTGGTCTTGGCTAAGCCCACAGATACAGAAAATGCCAAATTATAAATGTCAGAGTGACATTGGGCAGTGATTGACTTACTTGTGTTTTAGAAACTTAAAATGTAGAAACAGAAAACATGTACCAATTTATTTTGACTATTAATGAAGTATATGTTGCTTTAGGATTAATGTCAGAATAGCTATATTTAAGACAGCTCTTTAGAAGGAACTCCATTGTAAGATGGGGTTATTAATCAAGTTGTAAATATTTTAAACTGTTCTTTAACTAAGAAAGTTTTAGTTGGAGATGGATTTCAGCAGATTTGAAGAGCTGGCTTTGAGCCTTTCTTGGTTGGCAAGTAGGCAGCGTCAGAAAATTCTATGCTTTAGATTTCTGCCACATCCAGGTTGCTGTCTGTATACTCTTACTTCTGCAGTGTGGCAAAAACTTCAGCTGTAACTTGTGAACAAAGGTGAACAGATAATTTAGTGTGGAGCAGAAAGCATACTTGTGTTTAGGATACTGAATAGGTCTCTAAAGTCAAGGTACTACATTTTTTGTTTTTATTTGTTTTCAATGTGAAAAATTAAAATTTCAAATATCAATGTCTGAATGTAGTTGTATTGAATGACTTTTGCAACTTTAAAAAAAGTAGAAATAGGAAAAGTCAGCCTGTTAGAAATTGAGCAGTGGAGGTTCAGTGGGGTGTCTGGGTTTTGCTGTCAGAAGACTGATGGGTTTTCCTGTTCTTGGAGTTAATGAAGCACCAGGATCTCTGGTCCTATTCATCAGCTCAGGTGCCATCCTTACCACTGAGAGCAGGGTACAACTTAATTTTTTTTTTTGTTCTTTTCCATCACTTTAAGCACACGAACTCTCCAATTATTTCTCTTCTAACAACAAACTTTGTCTATATCTTTCTTTTAAAAAATATTTTTATTGATTTCAGAGAGAGAAAGGGAGAGGGAGAGAGATTGAAACATCAATGATGAGAGAGAATCATTGATTGGCTGCCTCCTACATGCCTCCTACTGGGGATCCAGCCTGCAACCGAGGCATGTACCCTTGACCGGAATCGAACCCGGGACCCTTCAGTCTCCAGGCTGACACTCTATCCATTGAGCCAAACTGGATAGGGCTGTCTATATCTTTCCTATGTCCTTTCTTTCTTGTGGACATGCATGCCTTTCCCTTCTTCCTGACCAAGGCCAAATCCTCCATGTATTCTTAAACCTACTGCTTCCTACTTCTATCAGTTATGTTCCCTGTTACCTCCAATGTTTCATCCTTCATTAGCTTCTTCCTCTAAGGCTGGTTTATTACCTACTTTAGAAGACTTTGGTGTGGGGATTATGCATAAAAATTTCTATTTTAAAAAATAGAAGTAATGATTAGGTAGAACAAATCAGTATATATTCTTAAATTAATATTTTGCAGTAGGATCTGCTGAGTCAGATGTAGTCTTTGGAAACTCTGAGATTAGTCTTAACTTTTCTTACCTTTCTCTTGGCTGTTTTAGGCCCTGCTGTGGTCCCTCACCAGTATTATGGAGTTACTCCCTGGGGCGTCTACCCTGCAAGTCTTTTCCAGCAGCAAGCTGCTGCCGCTGCTGCAGCAACAAATTCTGCTAACCAGCAGACCACCCCCCAGGCTCAGCAAGGGCAGCAGCAGGTAAATGTTAACAAAATTTATGCTGTGTAAGTGTGAATTTTAGTTATTTATTAATTAAAAGGTAATGTTGGTCCAAATAGAGAAGCACTGAATGGGTGATTTCCTTCTCATGTTTGTCTCTGAGTTTAGGCTTAGACTTAGCTGTGCTTACTGAATGCCATTTATGAATTAGGTTCTTGGTTAATGTAAATAGTTGAAATAATGATAGCAGACAATTTACATATGAGAATGCTGCTTAGAGAATGGTCCAGTTAAGAGTACATGGTTATCTAGTGGCAAAGTGAGTATCATACTAACAGTAAATTTTCTTTCTGCCGTACTGTAGTTAACTGCTGAGCAACATTCTCAGATCACTTCTGGCTCTGTTACAAGTCGCTTGCCATTGAAGGGGAGGGACTGGTTCTTTAGACTGCTTATTTATAACATCTATTGGGTTGGATATAAATCTTAAACCTCTTATGTCTGTTTTAACTTACAGTAATAAGAACTTTTAAGTTGAGTTGGGAAAGGATAATTAAATGCAAAACTGAGTATATCTTTTTTATTTTAAATAGATCATTTTCTCCTGCTTGCTAAATAACACCTATTGCTGAATATTGTGGTGAATTGCAAAACTAAACACACACACACACACACACACACACACACACAATGTGAGAAGAAACCAATATAAATGTATTAATGGTTGGTATCTCATTTTAGCATTGTTAAATGAATTTTTAAAATTGGGATTATTCTGTTCATGTGGTTTTGCCTACTGCTTTTACAGTTTTCCATGTTATTTAATGTTCATTTTAATAACATTTACTAGCTATATTTAAATCTATCAAAGAATATCCCATACTTTATTTTGACAAGTCCATTATTTGATATTTAACTTAGCAATATTTTTGTGTTATAAATAAGACTGATAGCCCTGGCCAGTGTGGCTCAGTTGGTTGGGCATCATCCCCTGCACTGGAAGATTGTTGTTTGCTTACCCGTCAAGGCACATGGCTGGGGTTGCAGGCTCGATTCCCAATAGGGGGTGTGCGGGCAGCAGCAGACCCATGGTTCTCTCTCATTGATGTTCATCCCTCTCCCTCTTTTTCCCCTCTTCTCTAAAATCAGTACAAACTTATTAAAAAAATAAGACTGATAAATATCCTTGTCATAAGTCCCTTGCATTATTTCAATGGACTAAATTCCCAGAAGTAGAATTTTTTTTCAAGCAATACAATGAGCATTAGGTTTTTCATATTCATTATCTAATTAAAGCTGTCTTTTGAGACATATCATGTTCATATGTGTTTATATGATATAATAAGAATCATCTGCTTTTTATTAGTCTCACTAAGATAGCATGTTTATTTTCTTAGATTCCACAAAATTATAGGAAGAACGTGTGTTTTGAAATTCTAGTTAGTTTATCTTGGTCCAGTATTTTTATAGTATGATCATTTTGGGGAAGCTAATGCATGATTTTCTTTGCAATAGATACAATTCTAGTACCAACTATGTTAGGGAATTTGTTGACAGAATGGGTGATCCCTATTAATGAGTTTGTTAATAGCTCCTCTTTGTAGGTAGCCTGTATTTGTTTATGAGATGCTCTTTATGTTTAAATGGCTGCCAAATACTTATAGATTTGAAAGACTGAAGTAATTACCATGTTTTAAATTGAGCTCTAATAAGTGAACAACAAAGATAGTAGTAATAAGTTCTTCCTATTGAAAGCTTTCTTTTTAAAGCTAAGCGCTCTACTTTTTTCCATAGATTATATGACTTCCCATCATAAGATTGAAGAAATAGAATTCGTGTGCCTAGAATCACACAAATATGAAGTTTCTAAGATTACAGAAGTCTGTTATTTCACAATTTTTGCTGTTTTTGACCATATTGTGATATTTGGAGTTACGTATAACCTGCAATCTGGTCTTTGTTCTACCACTAACTGGTTGTACGTAGGGCAGATTGCCTAACTTCTCTGAAGATAGGTAGTAAGCTTAACTCCTTGGATAGTGTTTTATAAATAGATTTTCAGACATTTTTAATGATTTTATTAGATGTTAAAATGTTACTTGTTAAATTTTATATATTTGTTTCCTTAAAACCCAGATTTGACGCCAATTGATAAAATACATGAATATTGGCAGCTGACTTAAGAACTATGTTTTTTCATCAAGGTACTACATAGATTTCTAAAGAGTGTACCAAAAGGAAACATGTTGCTCTCATTGATACAGGATTCAATAGTCAGGACTACCTCTGTTTTTCAGGCACCATGTCCATTTACCTGTCCCCTGACATTTCATACAACTCCTAACCAAACATAAGCCATGTTTATCATGCCCAACGAAAATGATGCTTGCATGATGTTTAATTAGTTCTCTAGTAGTTTTGAACTGTAACTATTTACCATATCTCTGTGCATGCTGCTTACTTTTTCTAGAGTGAAGCTCTTCGGGGTTAATGGTTAGGTATCTTGTAAGTCTTGCCCAAACACTTGCCTATGCAATCTTTTCTACATATGTAAATTGAAGTATTCCTTCTCCTATAAAGTTGGGTAGTTTCTTTAGGTCACAGCAGAAATAAATTGCCTAATATTTTGATAATAATTAGCTGTTGGTTACTGATTAGCTCCTGGGTAGTACATTAACTCATACTTTCAACAAATCTGTTAGATAAGCTATTACTCACTATTTTTACAGATAAGGAAATAATAGACTTAGGGTAATTGAAATGTCTTCTTTTCAGTATGGACAATATTGTTCACCTTATGGTTATTTAATAAATATTTAATTGATTGCTAGTGGTGTTTCTCTTAAATATTTTACCAAATGGTACCAAGAATAATCTGTACCCAGGCTCTTGACCACATGTCTAACTGTTAAAAACAGCAGAGTGATAGTGAAAGTGATCTGATAAGAACTTTGCATTTGAAAACATTGCAAAATGTATTGTTTTTAAACTTGGTAATTTTAGCTTTGATCTGTGGGTTTTGCATTTTTACCTGCTATAGTTTATAAATTTAGAGGAATAGATTCTTCAGAGTTATTCAGAGTAAAAATGGTTACCAGCATCTTGACACCTATGTGTCATTAATAAAAAAGTAGATCCAGGGTGGGACTCGAGCTGGGGGAGGGGGAGGTAAGAGATCAACCAAAGGACTTGTATGTATGCATATAAGCATAATCAATGGACGCAGACAGTAGGTGAGGGCATTTGCTGGGGGGTGGGAGCAGCCGGGGAGAGGTCAATGGGGGAAAAAGGAGACATCTGTAATACTTTAAACAATAAAGATTTTAAATTTAAAAATAAAAAATATAAAAAAGTAGATCCTTTATTACAGTGGCAGAACTGGTATTCTGCACCGAAAGGACAGTGTTCTTGACTAATGTTCATCTCCATTTAGATTGTTGTATGTTTGTGGAATTTATGAGAGGAAAAATAGAAATGATCAGGTCAGAAGCCTCTTAAACCTGGTGAACTCATTTGGATGTTTTAACTTAATTTGTTCATGTTTATATAAATCCTCTCACCCACTACATCATATTCTTTTCCTCTTCACTCACTTTTTGTCAGCTAGTGACACTTTATTATAGAGTTACTGTTTATTTCATTCACAGAATAAAAGCTCCAAGAGGGCAGAGGTTTTGTTTGTTTTATTCTTTGCTTTATTCTTGGTATAGGCCAAGTAGTAGGCATTACAAGTATTTGATTAATTATTGAATCATCACTTTATAGGTTTTGGCTGCTTTGTAAAGATAATAAATATGTTTAACCAGTTAACTGCCACGCATCCAAAACGCCATGATATTTTGAATTTAATTTAAAAAACCAATTTGCAGTGAGTATTATAAAGATAAATATATGATAATTCAGGTGTTCTTGAATATTTTCAGTTGAAAATTCTCACAAAAAATGATTTGAAAGTTGGTCAGGGCTGCCACTTAGGGAAAACATTTTTTTGTTTTTAGAGACGTGTATGTCGTGTAGGGAAGGTCCGCCACTTGCACCTACAGATGCTTATGGCATACAGTGGGTTAAATTTAAGTAGAATGAATTTCACCATATGAAATGTTAACTGACTTTTTATGCTAACAGCCATGCGATGTAATACCAATATAGGAAAAATGTTTTTATAACTATCAGTTCTTAGACCCATCACAGACAACAGTATGGTAGTTACCAGAGAGAACCGGAGAGGGCATAGTAAAGGGTAAAGGGGTTCAAATACATGGTCACTTTGGGCGGTGGGCATTACAAATGATATATCATAGAATTAAACACTTGAAACTATATAACTTTATTAACCAACTAGAGGCCTGGTACATGAATTCAGGCACGGGTGGGGTCTGGCCAGCTCGCCCAAATCGCCGGGGTGGGGTGGGGTGGGGTGGGGTGGTGGTTGGCTAGCTGGCCCCGCCCCCTGGTCGAACTCCGGATAGAGAGGACCATTTGCATCTTAGCCTTTTATTATATAGGATATCATCCCAAGAAATTTAATTTAAAAAAAAAAAGTGTAGCCAACTTAAGCATGTAGTGGGTCTTAGACATATCGAATGAGAAAAAAGTGGTTGATTTCTTTCTCTCTCTCAGGTTCTCCGTGGAGGAGCCAGCCAGCGTCCTTTGACTCCAAATCAGAATCAACAGGGACAGCAAACAGATCCACTAGTGGCAGCTGCAGCAGTGAATTCTGCCCTTGCTTTTGGACAAGGACTGGCTGCAGGCATGCCAGGTGAGGCTGCATTTTGTTCCTAATACTTTGAGGAAAAATAAAGTCTGCTTGTTGGGAGAGATTCAGAGAATAAGCAGTGCTTTTAGCTTGCTTAGGTTTGTCATGATTTGGTGACTGGCAAGGATGACATATACTTGCCCTCACTTAGACCACAGTTCGTTGATGAGAGCACCTAATTGTTCTGAGCCAGTCTTAATGTCAGTTGATGGACATATGCACATCTCCACATATTGCTTAGATTATGTTGTTTTCATTGGTGTTGATCTATTTCCCCTTTCAGGATTAGGTTTAGAAGGAGTGCCCTGGCCACTTTAACATTACTCCAAGCCTGTAGTCGTTATGATGATGATTTGTTTTTTCAAAATATGTTTTTATTGATTTCAGAGAGGAAGGGAGAGGGGCAGAGAGATAGAAACATCAGTGATGAGAAAGCATCATTGATCGGCTGCTTGTTTCATGCCTCCCACTGGGGACCGAGCCTGCCACCCAGAATTCCTTGATCAGAATCGAACTAGGGACCCTTCAGTCCATGGCTGACACTCTATCCACTGAGCAACACTGGCTAGGGTTATGATGATGTTTTTGAACAGCATTATTAGGAAGAAATTCATGATATTTCTTGATTGTGTTTAGGATTTCTTCTGAACCAGTACAAAGATGATTTGTAGCTGCCTACCCATGGTTGATATCTATATATATATTGAATATATGTAGCTCACTGTCACCTGGTCCTATTCTTTGCATGGATTGGATGTAGTTTGAGGTTCTTCCTTTGAAACAGGTTCTTACGAAATCTCAGCATAATTTTATGGATCCTTACTGAGCATGGAGTGTAGCCAAATTAAACTATTTCATTTATGATTTAGTGAGTAAATTTAACTTGTATTATTTGTTTTGTTAGTTACTAAGCATTTATGTATTAAGAAATCACCTATAATTTCTTATATACCTTAATAGGATTTGGAGATTCTATCTCATTAGGCATTAAAAGATCCTATTAATTGAAGCCTATCTAGGTTTTTCCTGCTAACTTGCAGCATATTTGTGCTTAGATTATTAAGTGGTATAGAAATACTGTGATTGTTGTAATCATTTGTTCCCTCTGTTATTTGTGTAGTCAGGAAAACATTAAAAAATTGTCAGTGAATGCTGGTTGGTGATAATCTTGGCTAGCACTTTGAAGAGTGTAGATATTCTCTGTTGTTCCAAATTCTCTTTCTAGCACCTAGTGGATGAAAAATAATGCTCCTCTTATTGTGCTAGATAGTATGCTGGATCTTTCACATTCATCTTTAGCTTAATCTTCACAAGAACTTTATAAAGACAGGTATTATCCTCATTTTACAAATGAGGAAATGGATAGCCCGAGATTTACGGTCATATAACTATCTAAGTGTTGATGCCAGCCTATACACCTAAGTCTGTCTGTCCCCAGAGCTGAGTTTGTGACTGTTTACCATATGCTGGTGCCCAGGAGACATTGTTAGTTTTATATGTACTTACAGTATGTTGCCTTTCTATTCCTAGGTTATCCGGTCTTGGCTCCTGCTGCTTACTATGACCAAACCGGTGCCCTTGTGGTGAATGCAGGAGCGAGAAATGGTCTTGGAGCTCCTGTACGACTTGTAGCTCCTGCCCCAGTCATCATTAGTTCCTCAGCTGCACAAGCAGGTGAGCTTACATCCAGGGTAAAAGGGTGATGAATGACATTCTTAAAATATGTTGAAATACACTTTATTTGACAGTTCTCAATATAGCATTTCTACCCTGTGATATTTGAAAGAGAATCAGAAGCAAAAAATGGCATCGATAGATTCTGATTTTGTGGCATGTACCAGTTAGTGAAGAGCAAGGACTCATTTCACTGCAAACATAGGAAGTTAGATTAGTCATATAAAATGGCACTATTGGCAGAAGTCCAAGGCTAATTTCACAGAAATCCATGTCATTATCTTCAAATAATGTAGATTTTTCGTGTCTCCCCCCCCCCCCCCAAAAAAAAAAAAAAAAACACAACAAAAACCGGGGGCAAGGATGGAGAAGGCGGGAGATGAGTAGAGAGACATGACAACAATAGGTTTTGGTGGGGGAGGGGAATAAGTTTTTATTTTAAGATATATATACTTAATTAGGAATAATAGTGGGAAAATCTAGAAGAGAAGCAACATGCTTAAATGTCTTACGAATTTGAGGGACTTTAGCATATGGATGACATTAGTTCTAGAAATACAGGTGTTGTTTTTTGTTGTTGTTTTAAATCCTTACCTGAGGATATTTTTTCCATTACTTTTAGAGAGAATGGAAGGGAGAGGGAGAGACACAGAGAAACATTGATGTGAGAGAGACACATCGATTGGTTGCTTCCCACATGCCCCCGACCAGAGCTGGGAGCCTTCAACTGAGTTACGTACCCTTGACTGTAATCGAACCCGGGACCCTTTAGTCCGCAGGCTGACACTATCCACTGAGCCAAACAGGCTAGGGCTAGAAAAATGTTTTTACCATAGATATTTGTGAAATGAACTTTTGGGAAGTAGATATATTTAAAATGGATATATTTGACATTGTACCTATTTTAAACTAGACTCTTTAAAGCCACAACATACTGAACTTGCAACGGTGCTATTTTGAAAGTAGAAATAGAAAATAAGAGTTTCAAATGAAGGGATCAAAGATCTGTATAGCTTTTTATAAGGTTTGTGTCTACTTTGAATACAGTAGAATTAAAAGATTTTCAAAAAAGGATAACAATGTAATTTGGAAATGTGGCCAATCCCTTTTATAGCTATATGATTTGCTTTCTTCTTTATAGCTGTTGCAGCGGCCGCAGCTTCAGCAAATGGAGCAGCCGGTGGTCTTGCTGGAACAACAAATGGACCATTTCGCCCTTTAGGAACCCAACAGCCTCAGCCCCAGCCCCAGCAGCAGCCCAATAACAGCCTGGCATCCAGCTCTTTCTATGGCAACAACTCTCTGAGCAGCAATTCCCAGAGCACCTCCCTCTTCTCCCAGGGCTCTGCCCAGCCTGCCAACACATCCTTGGGATTTGGAAGTAGCAATTCTCTCGGCGCCACCCTGGGATCAGCCCTTGGAGGGTTTGGAACAGCAGGTAGAAATCAGACTGATGTGCTTTAAAACTTATAATTACTTTTACAATCTTTATGGAACACTGACGATGCATGGAAACCTGGACAGATTCCACAGGCAGACCTGGACTGAGCCCCGTGGGATTCCAGCCATCCCACATATCTTTGAGATGATGTACTATTAAAATCAAGATTTACATTTGGGGCCTATTTCAGGTTTATGCTTGTGTTGCTACTTATATTTCATAAACGATTTGTTATAGGAATTAGGAAAGCAGGGGAGATTTTTACTGGCACTGGGGAGAGCGTGGAGGGAAGCATAGAAATGTGGATGTTAAAAACAGGCGGGACGACTTACCAAAGATCACAGAGTAGTGGACTGTACAATCTGCAAACCTTAAGGAGTAATGAGTTTTCTGCAGTCTTTTGAGAAGAATGGAAAAGTGGAAGGAAATTAGATCAGTATATTTTTAATGCTTTATGGGAGAAGAAAAATCAGGAAAGTAGTAAGGTAAACAGTGGGATAATACAGTGTTTGTAAAACAATGTGATGTGGACACAGAAGGGCACATTTGCAAGAAGGTATCTTAAATTGGAATTGGAGTCTAGTAATAACTCTTGATTGAATGAACCCATGGAGAAAACAGGCTTTCATATATAAATCTGGTGTATGGGGCAATGTCCCATTTACAAATATGTTTTCTGTACTCCATTTTTCCTACTAGAACCTTTGGGTTGATGAAAGGCATTCTTTTTAGCCCATTTTCTTTCACCTTTTCCATAGCTTATGTGGCCGTCTGTCAGCTTTTTAACCCACCCCACCCCATAATTTATGACACAAAAGGAAGGTAAATTTAGCATATGTGTGATGGTTTGAACAAAAGTTTCATGTTAAACTGAGCCATGTCCTCTTTATTACCTTACCTGCCCACAGAACTGCCACATGAACAGTTAGGCTGTCTCTGCTGACAAATTTGCGGTGGTAGGGAGTCTGGATCAAAGTGTTAGGAACAGGTCACTGGGCTTGTTCTTCAAGGAACAGGCCTGTTCTTATCTGCATTGTTTTAATTCCATTTTAGTTGCAAACTCCAACACTGGCAGTGGCTCCCGCCGTGACTCCCTGACTGGCAGCAGTGACCTTTATAAGAGGACATCGAGCAGCTTGACCCCCATTGGACACAGTTTTTATAACGGCCTTAGCTTTTCCTCCTCTCCTGGACCCGTGGGCATGCCTCTCCCTAGTCAGGGACCAGGACATTCACAGACACCACCTCCTTCCCTCTCTTCACATGGATCCTCTTCAAGCTTAAACCTGGGTAAGAACCATTACTCTAACACCACCTTAAACTCGAGAAATCTCTTGCCACCGATGCCATTAGAAATACTTTGCATAAGCAAAGCACAATCCCTTTATTCTGGAAATGTCCTGGGTGTTCTGTGCCTTCCTTGAGTACCTCATGTTATTTAGGCTGTACCTAGATGGCATAGCAGTTATGGATATATTAAAGTTTGGGTGTAGCCCCTATATTTTCACTTTAGTACAAACATTGTGTTCTCTGGCTGCATGTGAGAATCTTTCATTATAAACACAGTCCAGATTCATTTTAAGTAAAACTGGAAAACAGAAGAAGAATGTATTCACCTAGTATTACCACTTAAATATCACCATGATTATTATTTTGCCTTATTTTTCAGACTTCCCCCTCCCCCATGTATACATTTAATATCTTTTGCACATACAGCATTTTATTTTAAAAAGTTTGCCAGATTCTTTTTTTTTTTTTAAGGCATTTTCTTTTTTATTGATTTCAGAGAGGAAGGGGGAGAGGGAGAGAGAGAGATAGAAACATCAATGATGAGAATAATTGATCGGCTGCTTCCTGCACGCCCCCTACTGGGGATCAAGTCCACAACTTGGGCATGTGCCCTTGACCGGAATCGAACCCAGGACCCTTCGGTCCCCAGGCCAATGCTCTACCCACTGAGCCAAACTGGCTAGGTCTGCCAATATATTTGTATATATTTTCTTAAACTATATAGCATGCTAATGAGTATAGATCTATATTTCCCAATTCTATGTTTTGGTGGTTAAATGTATGGGATTTTTAAATGTTACTATGTAGATCCTAGAAAATGAGGAGGATAAAGAGGCTCCTTAATCAGCAAGCTGTAAGAATGTAGAGGCACTTTTATTATCACGTTAGAGGACAAATTTCTAAGTCTTTGAAGAGATACGAAATGGTTTACTACTCCCTTCTCCCAGTTACTTGTCAGGTTTGGATTTTGAAGTACCGATTTATTTCTTAGATGAGGAAAGTTCAGGCATAGACTTGGAGTAACCACATAATTTACCATGCAGCCCAGGACACTTTTGACACTGAATTGGGGGTTCTGTTAATTGTTATTCTGTGAAGATATGCCTAAATATGGACTGTCCCTATCCTCCTATATAATAAAACCCAAATATGCAAATCTACTGAGTGGCAGAATGACCAGTTGCTTGGCACGCACTGACCACCAGGGGCAGATGCTCAATGCAGGAACTGCCCCCTGGTGGTCAGTGTGCTCCCAAAGGGGGAGCACTGCTCAGCCAGAAGCTGGGCTCACAGCTGGTGAGCACAGTGGTAGTGGTGGGAGCCTCTCCCGCCTGCAGCGGTAAGGAGTGAGGGGTCCTAGATTGCCAGAGCCCAGAACTGTGAGAGGGATGTTCTGACTGCTGGCTTAGGCCTGATCCCGGACTGTGAGAGGGCACAGGCCAGGCTGAGGGTATACACACACACCCTCCTCTCCCTGCCTCTTCCATAGTGCACGAATTTCATGCACCGGGCCTCTAGTTTAAAATAAAATTAAAAAAACACACAACTCATCCAGTTTACATGGACTTTTTTTTTTTAAAACTATGTTCTTACTGATTTCAGAGAGAGGAAGGGAAAGGGAGAGGACAGAAATATCAATGATGAGAAAGAATCACCAGTCGGCTGCTTCCTGCAGGCGAGCTCACAACCTGGGCATGTGCCCTGACCAGGAATTGAACCGTGGTCTCCTGGCTCATGGGTCAACACTCAACCACTAAGCCACACTAGCAGGGCTTTTTTCACTTTTTAACTAGGAAGATTAAAAATGGCTTTATGGACTCATTTCTGAGTCCATAAAGCCATTTTTAATCTTCCTAGTTAAAATGGCTTTATGGACTCAGAAATGAGGATAGGCTATAAACGAATAGTATGCTTTCATTTGGAAAGACAAATACTTGGAAATTATTTATAAAAATATAAAAGACTTGAAGAAGGGGATAATAGTTATTATTCTAGAATTAATGCTATTTCTGAGTTTGAGAGATGAGTTTTGAGGCAACATTATCTATCCAAATAAGTACATATACATTTGTGCGTGCACACTTGTGTGTGTGTGTGTGTGTGTGTGTGTGTGTGCGCGCGCGCGCTAAAATTTTATAAGTTAAGAACTATGTAGTTATAGAACTCATTGTCTCAGGTTATATTAGGAAAGTTGTAGGGACATTTCAGATTGCTAAATCCATATTGGATAATAGCTAAGGGATATGGGTTTATTGTATAACAGTGTTTTCTAGTGACAGAATGCCTGGCTTTAAAGACTCAGGATTAATGCAAAATTATAAGGGATAGATGAAAGTGCCATTTTAGTGTGTAGACGGAAGGAACTAACATTTATTGAGTAGTTATTACCTGACACTACTAATGGTTTTAGCTGCTGTACATGTAACTCTGGAAGGTATTATGCCTATGATACAGAAGTCGGGAAACTGACCTAAATATCATGCCTAGGTCTCATATCCGAACAGAGTTAGTATCAAACCTTTTGATTTCAAAGCAGCAATTATCATTGTATATCCTATCACATGATGTCCCAGGATATATTTTAAACCAGTGCATTATCAGATGCAGTAATCTTACCTTTTAATTTCTTGGTTTAAACATTTAAACTGTGTCGGCTCTTATTGAGTACTAAACGAACTAAATCTGTGAGGTCAGATGGTCTCTGTAGTGAATATTCAACTCTGCTGTTGAAAATAAAACTTTATTTACCAAAATAGGTAGCAGGCCAGATTTGTCCTGTGGGCTGAAGCTTGTCAACCCCTGAACTAAATGCTGTGGCTCTTGAGTGTTTGAAAATGGAGCTGGAAATAATACTTGCATGCATGGTGCCTTTTCTCTTTCCAATATATTAGCAGTTTAATGAAATACTGCCTTATTCTTAATTCATGTTCCTCTTGTGAAGTAGGAAATAATTATTAGGCGAGTTATTTCTTAATGAATCTTGCTTTCTGCCTAGATTTATTTTTAACATATCATCTCCTTTAAAAAGTGTACCTTGTTTAAGCAATTTGGTTGTATGTATTTGCATTGGACTTGAATTGCTGCATATACTACAAAATCATACACATCGTTCTTGAGGAACTTAACATCTTGATTGGCTAGAGCTTTGCCTTAACTCGGTCTCCTTTAGAAAAGGGTTCTTGTATGCTTTAGTCTTACTATATGAGGTGTGGTACTTGGTTTATAGCAGTACCTATACAAAGACCCTAAAGACATCTTGGTGTAAGAAACAGCATTTCTTTACCATATGTATATTGGTCCACACCTCAATATAGCTTCTACTATTAATACTACATCACTGCTGCCACCAGCCATCAATTCTTCAATCACTAACAACTATCCTAAACATTTACTCATTGTATTCATTCAGTATATTAAATACTCAAAAGACTGTTCTATAGAGGGAAACTTAAACTCAGCATAGTTTCATGACTTTCATAAAACCACACAGCTAGTAAATGTTTGAATGCACATTTCAGCCTATATGTCTGTTCTCCCAGTGTGGATCTATTATCTGTGATACCATTTTCACACTTCTTCCCAGTGGTCAGACATAAGCTAGGATACTCAGAAAAATCAGTGCCTTGCTTATTTTTCTCTCATTATTGATTAAGCAATCACTTGTTGACTGCCTATTTAAGACTCTTTAATACTACTTTTCCCATTACCCATTACAGAAAGACCATACTTTTTAAAACAACTTAATGATTTATCTCACCATAAAATTATGTCATAACGTTCACTCATTTCAACTGTATAATTCAGTGATTTTAGTAACTTTCTGAATTATGCAACCATCATTACTGGTTTTAGACTATCTTCATCACCTCAGTAAGATTTCTCATGGCATTTTACAGTTAATCCCTGTTCATACCCTGCTAGTTCTGTTTTTAAATTTGCCTTTTCTGGACATTTCATAGAAATAGAAGCATACAATATGTGATCGCGTTTGTTTGGCTTCTGTACCTTCTCATGTTTTTGAGATTTCATGCTTGATATAATGTGTATCAGTAGTTTGTTACATTTTGTTGCTGACTCATCTTCAGTTTTATGCTATACCACATTTTGTCTAACCACTCACAATTGAAGGATGTTTGTTGGTTATGGTTTTTGGTTATTATAAATTATGCTGCTATGCCCAACCGGCATGGTTCCCGGTCAGGACACATGCCTGGGTTGTGGGCTCAATCCCCATTGGGGGAGGGGGGGGGGTATGCAGGAAGTAGCCGATCAGTGATTCTCATCATTGGTGTTTCTATCTTTCTCTCCCTCTCCCTTCCTCTCTAAAATCAATAAAGAATAGTTTATGGTGCTATGAACATTTGTATGCAAGTCTTTCTGTGAGTGAACGCTTGCTTTCATTTCTCTGGGAGTAGGATTGCTGATACGTATGTTGTTTTTTTAAGTTAAACTTTTAAAGAAACTGCCGACCTGTTTTCCAAGTTAGTGTACCAGTTTACATTCCCACCACCAATGTGTGAGGATTTCATTTTCTCTGCACCGTCACCAACATTTGTTCTTATTTGTCTTATTTAATATAGCTGTTCTAGTGATTATGAAATGGTATATCATTGTAGTTTTAATTTCCATTTCCCTAATGCAGTGATGGCGAACCTATGACACACGTGTCAGAGGTGACACGTGAACTCATTTTTTTGGTTGATTTTTCTTTGTTAAATGGCATTTAAATATATAAAATAAATATCAGAAATATAAATCTTTGTTTTATTATGGTTGCAAATATCAAAAAATTTCTATATGTGACACGGCACCAGAGTTAAGATAGGGTTTTTCAAAATGCTGACACACTGAGCTCAAAAGGTTCGCCATCACTGCCCTAATGACTAATAATGCTGAGTCTCTTTTCATGTGCTTATTAACAATTCATGTATCTTTGGTGAAATGTCTGCTCATATTTTTTGCCCATTTTTTGATTCAGGTTGTTTGTCTTATTATTGAGT